GGAGACGTTCTTCTATGTGAAAGCTTAATAATGTGTACCTTTAAAATATCACTATAAACAGATTTTGTCTAAAAACCAAACAAATCAGATCTGATGGTTCCTTTTAACACAAATTGGAAATGCAATTCTCTATAAACATAACATGAGGCAAAGTACTTTTACACATTTTTGATAACCTCCGTTAAGCTAGTTTTCCTCATCCCACTGGAAAATCATATTAATCATATGTGGTAGTTTTTACAGTTAGATGACTTTAATTTGCCATGTTATTGTTTGTTCAAAATCAGAAAACAAATTAAAAAATCTAGTCACCATAGTGCATGTGTATGTATGAGATCTCAACTGATCTCAGTCTTGTTTACAGGATTCTTCTGCAAAATTTGCCTTTCAAAAATTTATTTTTCTTATTCAAACCTATTTCAGCCCAAAGTATAAAAGTTCCTACATTGTCTTCTCTTCATTGGTATGAAATGAAATGGAATAAAAAAACCATGTTTAAAAGAAAAACAATATATATTTTCTTGTCAAATATTATTCATAGTTGTATTGTACAAGTGGCTTATTATTACCAACATCCATTGTGCTTTGACTTTAATTAAAACATATTCAGGTGAACATCCCAATTTAATGAAATGTTAGAAACATCCTATCATACACATGGTGATATTCATTTCTTAATGTGTTGCATTTCATTGCACAGATAACAGAACGGTCTTCTTCATTATTCACATAAAAAAAATAAAAGATAAAGGCCATGTATTAAAAGCTGTCTTCATTTAAAGGAGAGATTACTAGTAAGCATGCACTTAAGAAAATAGAACCATTTTTTTTTTTACAAATTTTATTTTCTGTAAAATAGTGTCTCACAAAAGATATTTTATATATGTACAAGTACACTTTTGCAAGAATAACCTTAACAATGATCACCTAATTTTTTTTTTTTAAGTTCCACAGGTGTATAAAAATAGATGTCAAAAAAGTATTTCTGAGAGAGCCAATTAATGGCAGGGTGAAATGGATGATAATAATACGAGGAAAGTAAAAGAGAGGTGAGGAGGAGGAGGAGGAGGAGGAAGAGAAGAGAAGAGAAGAGAAGAGAAGAGAAGAGAAGAGAAGAGAAGAGAAGAGAAGAGAAGAGAAGAGAAGAGAAGAGAAGAGAAGAGAAGAGAAGAGAAGAGAAGAGAAGAGAAGAGAAGAGAAGAGAAGAGAAGAGAAGAGAAGAGAAGAGAAGAGAAGAGAAGAGAAGAGAAGAGAAGAGAAGAGAAGAGAAGAGAAGAGAAGAGAAGAGAAGAGAAGAGAAGAGAAGAGAAGAGAAGAGAAGAGAAGAGAAGAGAAGAGAAGAGAAGAGAAGAGAAGAGAAGAGAAGAGAAGAGAAGAGAAGAGAAGAGAAGAGAAGAGAAGAGAAGAGAAGAGAAGAGAAGAGAAGAGAAGAGAAGAGAAGAGAAGAGAAGAGAAGAGAAGAGAAGAGAAGAGAAGAGAAGAGAAGAGAAGAGAAGAGAAGAGAAGAGAAGAGAAGAGAAGAGAAGAGAAGAGAAGAGAAGAGAAGAGAAGAGAAGAGAAGAGAAGAGAAGAGAGGGGGGACAAGGAGGAGGAGGAGGAGGAGGAGGAGGAGGAGGAGGACAATGAGGAGGAGGAGGAGGAGGAGGAAGAGGAGGAGGAGGAGGAAGAAGAAGAAGAAGAGGAGGGAGGAAAAAAATGCCACAGAGGAAGAAAAGAAGAAACAGTTCTCTGAAAGTTAAGAAAGAAAACAAGTATACTACTATTCTTTAAATATATCACATAATCTGAACTACATTGCATCTTCTTCAGGTCACTCTTAATACATAGGATGAGATAACAAACTAAAGCTACAATCTTAAACCTACAAAATTATAATCCATCCATAAGGCAAAGAATATATATATATCATCACTGGGAAAAATGTACATACCTGTTTGATGCATGGCAGTGGATTGCAACACTAATAAACAATTTACCCAATGCTTGTGGGGATGGCTGGTTTTCCCACACTGATATGCTTATTCACCAAGGAGTCAGTTACTAGAACTACCTATTTCACCTGTTACCCTTTTCCTTAATTTTTCATTGCTATTAATATTGTTAATACCATTATAATAATCAAGATATCAACATCAATATCAATAGTATAAAAAAGGGAAAAAAAAGGAAGAGAAGAGAAGAGAAGAGAAGAGAAGAAAAGAGAAGAAAAGAGAAGAAAAGAGAAGAGAAGAGAAGAGAAGAGAAGAGAAGAGAAGAGAAGAGAAGAGAAGAGAAGAGAAGAGAAGAGAAGAGAAGAGAAGAGAAGAGAAGAGAAGAAAAGAGAAGAAAAGAGAAGAAAAGAGAAGAAAAGAGAAGAAAAGAGAAGAGAAGAGAAGAGAAGAGAAGAGAAGAAAAGAGAAGAGAAGAGAAGAGAAGAGAAGAGAAGAGAAGAGAAGAGAAGAGAAGAGAAGAGAAGAGAAGAGAAGAGAAGAGAGGAAAGGAAAGGAAAGGAAAGGAAAGGAAAGGAAAGAAAGGAAAGGAAAGGAAAGGAAAGGAAAGGAAAGGAAAGGAAAGGAAAGGAAAGGAAAGGAAAGGAAAGGAAAGGAAAGGAAAGGAAAGGAAAGGAAAGGAAAGGAAAGGAAAGGAAAGGAAAGGAAAGGAAAGGAAAGGAAAGGGAAAGGGAAAGGGAAAAGTTACATAAGTCTACCACATGACTCATTGGTGGCTCTGCATTTGTAGAGCCATCTACATGTAAATACATTTAACAAATCATTACTATAGAGAGTATTACATATTCCCAGAAGCATTAGGTCAAATATAACAACTACGATAGATTATGTACTATTGTTTCATTTATGGAAATGAAGAAATAATTTATGAACATTAAGTCTTTGTTCATCATATACACATCACTTAACCCATTGCCGCCGGAGAAAATGAACAAAAAATGGGGAGAATGCAGTACTCATTTTTTATATTTTCGTGAAATATCTCCATAGATGACTCTTCTAGTCCTGATTTCACCTGTCCTTGAATTGGCGGGAAAAAACGTATTCTTAATAAAGCTATAAATATAGTTGGTGTTATTCTGAACAGCAAATTAGGATAACGTGAAATATTTTCGTAAATAGATGAAAAAGGTGAATGGACGAGACAGGCAGTACTCGTAACTGGCTCATTGGATACTTAGTACAGGTGTAGCTATCTATGTATAAAAACAATCGAACAAGTCAACTCGCAGTGGGCATGGCATGTACGTACATGTAATCCCTGGCGGCAATGGGTTAAGAATACACATAGATTTCCTGCTTTCACAAAAGAAATCTTTATTTAGTTGAAATCGTTTAGAAACTTAATGCGGTCTCCAATTAATTTTGTGAAGTTATTATACTGTGAAAAAAATTGTATTTCCTACAAATATTATTCTTCCATACCTCTTAATATCTTGCTCATACATTTATATTCTACTTACATGTACAAAATAACAAGATCACATTAAAAAGATGTTCCATGAACAAATCATGATCTTTAATACTGGTAAATGGATCATAATACTAGAGATTTTCTTCCTTATACTTCAAGCTATTACTTCAGCTGGTAGAAGGCATTTTTATACTGTGTGAACACAGAGGCAGGAAATAAAATACAGCAACAAGTCTTTCACCCAGATTGAGATTCAATGGATAAAGAAAGAAAAAATAGATATGCAAAGAGGGAATCCCTCTATTTATAGTGTAGCACTGAAATATAAATAACCTAGTATTAAACAAAAAATATACATAAAATATTTGTACAGCAAATCTAAATAAAAATTCACAATCTTGGTTAAGACCAGTCCCTTCAGTTTAAGCCTGATGATTCTGTGTACCATAAAACATCAAGCAATCATGCTCTGTTGTCAGGATAATCTGTGTAACCTGACAGTCTAGGTCAGCACACTCTTCCAAAGCAAACTGTAATGCTACTAGAGACATACTAGCTTTCACTGGCAAGACTTCAATTACTTTGGTGATCACACAGTCTTCTGTTGATCACTCATGGAAAATGCATCTTGCTCTTTACCCTCAAGAACAATTAACAGTCATTGCTGTACTCATGGTATAACTACAGCCATCTAAGCACATGTTTTACATCTGTCACATTCATGTGTGTGTTGCACAGGGCAAAATCTGGCAAAAATGGTTTACCCTGCTAATTCTATCATTTATTATATTTCCAATTCAATCCTATATGCATGCACAGTTCTTTCATGTCTCTTAGAAGTTTAAAAATTAACCTTTTGTGTCAGGTGGTTAGGCCCAGAGCTGACTAGATTTGCAAAGTTACAGTAACTCTAACATTGAAGACTGAAAAGGGATGCCAAATATGGATTTTTTTGTGACAGCCCAAAGAGCTGTTGTTAGGGCCATAAACTGAACTCCTAGAGTCACCTTCACACTGAACTCCATAGCAACATGATTTTCTTTGTTTCAAAGAAAAACAAGGAAAAATACCAACAGAATATGACACCAACTAGAATCAACTCTGCAATTTGCAAATCTTTGCAACCATGGAGAGATAAATCTGAAAAAAGAAAAGAAAGAAAGAAAGAAAAAAAAAAATATATATATATATAATAAAAAAAAAGAAAAAAGAAAAGAAAACTACTCTGCTGATAAAGTGATAAGTTAATTAACTTACATATTTCAAAGAGAAATACTCCCTTCATTTAATTCAAATGTATCATAAATGCCTATAGGAATGTGGAAGTATACATCACAACAGATAGATTAACCTTTGCCTATAAGTTCTTGATAGTGTAGTAAGGCGTATGGTGTCAAGAATGTGCTATTTGACCTTACAGCACCACTAATTGTTCGTAACCACAATTAATTACAGACCTAAAGCAGTTTGCAGATTATTTTAGTAGTGAAACTGAATGGTTAGAACCTAACAAGAAATTGCCTAGATCTAAAGGCATATATGTATCATTCACTTAAAGGCCTCCACATGCACTGAATTTCAGAAAAAATAAAGAAAGGAGTTTTAACCACAATTAATTACAGACCTAAAGCAGTTTGCAGATTATTTTAGTAGTGAAACTGAATGGTTAGAACCTAACAAGAAATTGCCTAGATCTAAAGGCATATATATATCATTCACTTAAAGGCCTCCACATGGACTGAATTTCAGAAAAAAAATTTTGTCCTCGTCACTGTCCTTTACACTGCTTTCATATAAACATATTTTTACCGTAATAACTATTCTTTGGCAGTTTATAAAAAATCAGTGTCCATGATAGTATGCATTCTTACCAAATCATGTTTCCTTTACAAGTTTGGAAGGTAAGTGGCAAGCACACTGCATAGATTTCATCACATGTGGAAACCATGGGTAAAATATTTAGATGCCCATACCTGGGAACTGCTTGATTCAGCAACACTATGCAAGTGATACACACAGCAACCATGATTTAAGTTATCAATGTATCTGTCAATAGGCAATGCTGTTGTTGATAGAAAATCCTATATTTCCTAGATATATTACTACCATTTCTTTAATGAAGTATATTCTAGTAACATTTCAGAAACTTGATCGCATTCAGCAGCATAAATAAAGTTGACCACTAAAACAATCACTATCATTTTTTTTTTTTTTTTTTTTTTTTTAAGGAAAAGCCTTTAAGCCTTACTTGGCAGCTTTTAGTCTTCTTAATGCCTAAAATGATAATGTCAGTCAATAGATTGAACAGTATCAAAGAAAGAAAATCATATCAAATAATAAAATATATGCAAACAAACTGTCTCAGATTCTATTACACTAGAATAGTTTTCATGAAGAAAGAACAGAACACCTTTTAGTAGAAAGGAAAATACAAAAAGATAAAATGTATTAATTTTCTTACATGCATGATCAAAAAAATGAGATTCCTGTTTACTTTTATAACTCACTTGAGTCTATTTTTTTTTTGCCACACCTTTTCCAGTAACTAGACCATTTTCTCATAATGTAATCTTCATCTATATCTTTAGGTGAAGGTCCTTCGATGGAAATATATGCCATGGCCATCAATAGTGTTCTTGCAAACTTATTAGTTAATGTTCCATATGCCAATGCAACATCAAACATACTAAGCTCTACTTTTGCAGTTAGGAATGGCAACACTTTCAATTTCAAGTAAAACTCATGAAGTTTAGGGTAATCACCAAACAAATCTGGCTTTTCCCCAAATGCTGTAAATAATTCAAGAACAGTGCAACTTTTCTGTTTCCCTAGCAATATTCTTACAGCATGAACATCTTGCAACAATTCACAGCTTCTTCCTTTAAATTCCTTCATAAATCTCTCAAATACTTTTTCCATTGTAAAAGTTGTAACCTGTTGTAACCTCATTGTAAAGAAAATTACAGTTTCATCTTTATGTGAATGCAAACTTAAAAGTGTATATGACAAAAATATATCCAGAATGCTCAAAACTGTTACATCTTCAGAGTCCTGAGATTTTGTACACTTCAACATAGAAGCAACATTTTTTCTCAATGTTGTAATTTCCATAATGGAAGCCTGACTGTGCTCTTTTTTGGCAAATACTGCATGTAACCTAGGAAATATTGCTTCTGCAATCTTGAAGGCAGACATCTGTGTTAGATCCAGTGTGCTAAATTCTAGAGCTTTTAAACTACCTGTCTCATCATATATTGTATAAGCAATTTCCTTCAGCTTTAAACTGTTTTTATGAAGAAAATTAAGAATACTTGCACTTTTTAAGCAATTATGACTGTAAGGTTTCTCTAGTTGTAAAACTTCGTCTGTTTCAGGAAAGTTGGCAAACTTAAATTGTGATGCTTTGCATAACTTTGTAAATGAGTCAAAATAATGAAACAGATCTTTAAAAAATTGATTGCCTTCTAACCAGGACAAGCACTTTTTCAGAGAAGGTAAACGAGCTGGCAATGTAAGTTTGTCCAGCACTCCTAGGTTCTTCATATGGGGGATGTCTGCATAAAATGACATTTTCTGAAGATCTACATTTTTGTACTCCAAATATTGCTTTACATTTAATTCCTTTTCTTGTGGATGTCTATTGAGACTAAATAAATGTTCTTCACACGCTCCTCTTTGGTTAATCCATCTGATTATAGCTAGACTATTCTTTTCAAAAGCAAGTACACTAAAATATGGTGACCTTTCTAGAGCCTTCAGTTGTCTATCTTGCAAGCAAGTGGCTATGTGCTTCACCATATATGAAACTAAATATTCTTTTTCAGGAGACCTTTGAGGCCCTGGAAATACACCTCCTTCTAAATCTGAAATCCTTTCTGTTAAGCCTTCCAGTCCTGAAACATCCTTCATAGTACCTTTCAACAATGAATAAACATGCCTAAACAATTTTTGTATCTGCAGTTTCTTCATCACAATCTCATTGTGCTTCCGAGATTCATCATGGCAACGCAATATTTTAGCTGTCTGATACACTTCACTTGGCTTAGATAATACAAACACTTTAAACTGACCAGGGTCTGTGCTTCCCCATTTACAAGTCTCGCAGATAAGTGTCTGCTTTTCACAATATGTCACCCATGGAAACACCTTCTGCCAGTTTTTAATACATCCTGATAGTTCTGGCATAACAACAGGCCTTTGTTTTACTAGCTGAACTTCTACTTCATTCCCCAAACTTTCAAAATTATTCTCTACTTCATTTACTACATTTTTCCTTCTTTTTGGGTGATCCTCTGCTTGAGATTTACTTTTTGAATTAACAATTGTTTGGCTAGAGTCATGACATCTTTTTAAGTTTACATTTTTTTTCTCTTGTGGCTTTCCTGTATCTATGTCCATCATCATTGCATTTTCTCTATTATCCTCTTTTGAGCACACTTCATCCATTTTGCTTTCAGCGATGGATACCACTTCTGTAATCACTGGTAACTGACTATCCTGTGTCTGAGAAAAGATAACATTGTCTGAGTTGATCTCGTCTATATTACTCTCCTTAGTGTGACATCTTTCACTGAATTCATCTGAATAATTCTGAACTTTAGTAACACTGTCAGTATTGGTAGCACAATTTGGAGCATCACCTGTAATGTGGTTTTCACCTGGTTTACCATTCTGGTTAACATCTTGTCCAAATGAAACAGAGAGCGTTCCAAGCTCTGTATTTAATACTTTTAGATCTAGTTTGGCAAGCATATTTTTACCTTTCTGACTAGCAACTGGTTTAACTGTGTTGTTTAAAACTACATAGGTATTTAATTTGGGGAAGTGCACAAGCTTACATTTTATAGGTGATGTCTTTTTTTCTTTAGAAGGAACACTACTAGAAGTTTTCTTTTTAGTGTGGTGGGTTTGAGAGCCACTGTTTGTACTGTACGTATTAGCCTGTTTACGTGGTATGTCTCCTTGCTTGTTCTCCTCAATCTCTAAAAGTGTATCTGAAGAGGTATTTACAGTTTCTCGTCCTTCATGTACTTCTGGTACTAAGCTTGCAGTACTAGGTGCAGAGACAATTTTACCTTTTCCAGGTGACGTCTTTTTTTCTTTTGAAGGTACACTGCTAGAACTTTTCTTTTTAGTGTGGTGGGTTTGAGGGTCACTGCTTGTACTGTACTTGTTAGTCTGTTTACGTGGTATGTCTCCTTGTCTGTTCTCATCAATCTCTATAAGTGTCTCTGAAGAGGTATTTACAGTTTCTTGTCCTTCATGTATTTCTGGTGCCAAACTTGCAATACTAGATGCAGAGACAATAACATCATTGGCATTAGCTGAAGATTCAACAGCTGGAACTGAGGTCACGTCTTCCTTCCAATTAGTTTCTCTTCCCAACCAGGTATCAAGCTCTGCATTACCTTGAAGCAGCTCATCTAATAGTTCTGAAAAATAAAATGTTCAGATATTTCTAAAGTTGGAACATATTTATATCTCCAATTTAACCCATCCATGATGGCAGCTCCTGGCACATGTGCTGCATGTAGAGGTAGTATGGGAAACATAAACCTTCCCTGCTCTCTGCACCAAGGGTAACCATTGCAAGAAGATGAATTTAAGAGATCCTTCACTTTAGTCTCCAACCAAATATACTTCATTTCTTCAGTCTGATGATAATTATGAACCAAATGGACAAAAACACATTATCTACCTGGTTTTCTCATGCATAATGAAGAACATGCTTTCATTCGTCGATTTATCTTGCTCTTCTTCTGCTTTGCAACCTTGTTTTGAGCTGGGTTGAGTATCACAAGCCGATCTCGTATTCTAC